TACATTTCTCCAAAATTTCTTCAGTGCAGAGGTCTTCAAGAAAAAATCATCTGGAACATATATCACTTCATAAAAAAGAACTAGTTCTACAGAGTACACAAAGCAGATTAATGCTAGTCAAGCTGGCAAGGCTAACATTTAGCTTAGAAGACTAGAACAACAGCTGCAGCCTGTCAAAACCCTGCTTGATCACATTGTCACATAAAAAGAGACCCATCAGCGCATGAAGGTAACGTGACTCATGATCATGTTATCTTGCCACTGCTATATATCTTTGTGTACACATCACGTGTTCATACTCTATGTAGTTGTGAAATTTATTTAAAGAGGTTAATGGGTCTCCCCCTGTCCTTGAGCCTGTTAGTGTGATCACCTAGGACTCCCGATTGCCGTGAACTCGGCCGCCTCCGGGTGTGGAGTAATTTGCCAAGAACAAGTGCGCACCCTGCATTATACATGCACCTCTTCTGTACCAATGCTGACGTGCTCTGTTATTGCACTGTTTCATATTTGGTGTACAGAAAATGAGGCTTCTATAAATCATGTGGTGTGATCATTGAAAAGTATTAGGTCTGTCGCTCACGCCTGCACGTAAAGACGCTGGTGACGGCAGTGTGAGGAGGCGTGGCTCTGGCTTCCACATAGGCGGGCCGGCCTCAGGCCAGGCAGGTGAACTCCGGCCGCGGGAGAGCTGGGCAGCTCTGAGCCCCCGAGTGTTAAAGCAGACGACAGGTGGAAAGACGGATGTTAAAGGAGGAATATTTGTAACATGAAGAACCATCGACTTCATCTTTATAGGAAAATTCAGATGTTGAGTATTTGTTTTTAATACTAGTAAATTACATGAGCCTGCCAGCTGCACTCCTGCTGGGGAGTTGGGTCTCTTCTTTTGGGTGATGACTGACTCGAGAAGCGAACTGTCACTTACAAGCGAAGAGCGAGGCACCTCTCACTGGGGGGACTCGCTGGAAGAGCTTACTGTACAATTGGGAGTTTAACTTCTAAGTTCCGTTTTCTACATGTATGTTGTTGTTCGGATGCAGTTGCAACGTGATGGCAAGAATACTTTTTCTCCTGGATGTTCCAGGAACTCATTTTAAAGTGAGAAGAAAACTTCTCATTTGTGTAGGAAACAGTCCTTTAAAGTGGACATTTTTATTGTAAGAACTTAAAGTGGGAAATAAACTCTAATGATCTTCTGTGCAATCCGTTCAATACCTCTGCCATGTTCTCTTTTAGGTCAGAGCTCTTACAGGTCAATCTGAAGAAATCAGATGAGTTGACTGTCAATGAACTTGAGAATTTTGAATACTTGTGTCAGGTCCCCTCTTTATTTTTCCCTGCTCAAGACTAAAAAGGTTCAGTTCCCTCAGCCTGTTAGTGTAGAACGCTTCCTTAAAGCCCCAATAGCCGGTTGTTCTTCTCTGAGCTGCGTCCAGAATGGAAATATATTTTCTCTACCTTGGTGACCAGGACTGTACACAATATTTTAAATGAGTCTTAAAAGTCTTACTTGTGCATTACTCAATTTGAATATGACACTCCTTGATTTAAATTGTCCACTTTCAACAATCTTGTCTATGTTTACTGTAAATGATATCAGCTCAGACACCAAGGACTTTTTGTAAGTAGCCTATTCTAGCTCAGCGTTTCCCATTTTGTATTTATAATTTGTTTTCACCATTTGCACGCCCTATCCTGCATTAAAAGTCGTCTCTCACGTTTGTCCAGTTGTGAAATTCAAGTGCTTTTGAATTTCATTTGCTGCTTCTAGTGTTTGCTAGTCCTCCCAATTTGGTATCATCTGCAAATTTGACTTGTTTACTATTCTATAATCTGCTGTAGATCTTTGACATAAATGAGGAAAAGCAGTGGTCCCACTATAGGGATCTGTGGTACTCCACCGATTACATCACCTCATTTTAAATTTTCATCTCGTCTGTAGCCTGTCTATTTTAAAATCCAATTCTCAATCCAAACAGCTGCATTTCCCCATCTGGGATGGTGACCCTTATAAAAAATTAGGTTATTAAATTATTAGTTTCTTGTATTTTTTTAAACAAAATTTGTAAATTATATAAATATGCATGTAAAGGAAGTTTTGCAGTGAGGCAGATCACTTAAATCAAGCCTGCACTGGTTAAATACGTTCCAGTTAAACTTAAGACACCATGTGCTGCCTGTCTGAGAAAACGTATGGGATCTAACAGTATGAATATTTTCACTCAACAAATGTGTTTGGGAAACCGCTGATAAAGTCAGACAAACTGAGGAAGAAGCCTGAAACATGAACAGGTGTATATAAAATTCAGATTCAGTTGGGAGAAGGGAAAGTTTTGGCAGACATTTCTAATGTTTACTTCCTTATGCGTCGTATATGTGAACTTAGAAGAGCACGTACATGTGAATTTCTGTGACCCAAGCTAGACACAAAGCTTGAGGGGAGGAGGGAAGAGTCGATTTTAATCCTTAAGTTCAATTTCATTTTTTCCTGCACCTCCCAGCTTTCAGAAAGAGCAGGCTCTGTTTCGTGTCAGGAGGTCACCTCAGCAATATACCGCTGGCAGTTCCTTCCACATGGGGCTTTACATCAGGGCTGCTTCAACAGATTTATTTCGCCAGCCCCCACACCATATTAATCATCCGGCCACAGCAGCGTCGGCTAGCGGAGCCGGCTCAGGCGCGTCAGGTGTCTACAGCAGCCCAGCCGAGGAGCATGCACAGGTGATGGAAAAACACGGGGCAAACAATTCAAAGCACGAGCTTCGCTGGCGGCCAGCCTAAAACTGAAGAGCAGGAGGGAAAAAAACAACATTCTCAGAGCCTGTCGGTCTTTGGGGGGGGAAGAGCCAGAGTAGTGCGTTCTGGGAACCGGCGCACGTTTTCAAAAGCAAAAATAAAACTGAAATTTATCAGTCTGCCGAGATTTTCTCAAGCACAAAGTTGAACCTTTTCCAGTGGCTCCTTGAAGATCCTGGCAAGACTAGTGAAACCTGCCTCTCCATGTGTCAGGCCTGTCAGGTGATAAAAGCCAAGAACCAGGTACATGAAAGGCTCCACTGCTAATACATTTCAGAGAGAATGTGCTCTGGAGCTTCTAGATTTACAGCGGTAATGAAGCAGTGGATTTACAAGCAGGGACACACTTTCTTTGAGCTCCAAAGTCCTCCAAGGGACAAGACACGGCAATAAATCTGCACCACATATTACCCTGAAAAAGAAAAGCACTGGTATCATTCAAAACGCAGAGCTTTCAAGCAATAAAAACGCTATACAAAAATTAAATTCAGCTGAGAATTGTACTTAAAGAAGTCTAAAACATGTCAACATACGAATGGGAACACGTGCAAACTACGAGTTAAGAGTCCACGAAGCGTTTTCAAAGACAAGCAGGCCTCGACTTCGAGAAGTGTCTAAACGAGGATGAAGCCGTGTGACTCACTGCAGACCTGCTCAGTTACTCCACTTCCCTAACAGGCCCCACATTCGACACCACAGACCTCACTGCGAAGTAAAAATCAAGTCAGTTGGCGTTTGAAAAACAGAACAAACAAATAATGGTCAAACAGATCCTTTTACATTTCACCTGGCCGGCGAAGAGTCAGAGTTTGGATGTGCATATTAGAATTCGGGGGCACTGCACTGTAGTGTACTCTCCTTCAGATCAGACGTTCAACCAGGACTGCTGTACCTGGTCATTAAAGAACCTAAAGGACTGTGCAAAACAAATAGGTGTGTTAAGCCTGGAGCCCCGAATGACCAGGGTGCTGTCCCAGTTTGTTCTCCATGCTTCCAGGATAGGCTGCAGGTTGCCAAGACTCCTGCCAGGAATACGAAGCAGCTCTGTGATTGTGGTTGATGAGCTCCTCGTGATGGTTACCAGGGGCACCACTGCAGGAAATGTCTCGGCTTCAGAGGACAAATAAAGCTGAGATCCTGGCTGTACTGCACTCGGGACCTGCATACAATCAGGCTACCCTAACTGATCTCCTTAAATCAGCAAGTGAAGAAATTTCTCACTCCTGATTGGCTGTGCAGGCAGGCTGAAGAAGCTCACGCCTGAAGAAGGCTTCACAGCCGAAACATTGTGTTTTCTTTTCTGCATGGAATAAACCCGTTACCCGTTCCTGTGCAGGGAGGCTGCTGTGCGTCACCCAGTTGAAGCTGAAATGGAATGGGCGTCCCCTTATGTCAATTGCGTTAGGATCCCTGGTGATGACAAGTGCTGAGTATTATTCTTCAACACGACATCTTAATCTTGTACCACATACAGCAGATGCGGTCTGTGCCACAACTTCTTTACGAGAATGAAGGGAACATTATAATGAAAATGCAAGAGTTCACAAAAAGTTATTTCTAACTAAAGAGAAGCACATTTAAAGCATGTATTACTTAACAGTAAAGGAACACGTAATAGGTTTATTCCATGCTGAAAAAAAGAAAAGAGAAAACACAACGTTTCGGCCGTGGAGCCTTCATCGGGTGTGAGGGGTCATCAGGTTGCTCACACCTGATGAAGGCTCCACGGCCAAAACGTTGTGTTTTCTCTTTTCTTTTTTTCAGCATGGAATAAACCTATTACTTGTTCCTATGCAGCCTACGCATGCTGACGCAGCTACCCACCTGAATTACTTAACAGTAGTTTCCCATGGTTTCTAAACAGCATTTCTGAGAACTATTAGACCACTATATTTACAATTCCACTTTTTTTTTTACTTAATAGCTGCAGAAAGTCATTTGAGTGCTTTTTATCTTTTGCAGTGGGGGTGGATCAGTCTCTTACAGGATGACGCCTAGGGTGAAATACCTGCCAAACGGCTGCTGTTCCTGGGGAATTCTGGTTCTGAGTCACAGTGCATTTGTGGGGTTTGGAAAAGCCTTGTACATTTCCTGTCCAAACAGTAACTATACACCCCCGATCTCCAAGAGCTAGAACCTGAAAAAGACATTGATAAGTCCAAATCCATAAGGGCTTGTGCCAGGAGAAAATGCATTGCAGGGAAAGATCAAAGCCATTTATTGTCTATTAAAGATGGCTTCAGACCTCATCGGGCTGAACTGGAAAGAAACATAACAGACTAGTCTCTCCAATTTAATAATGAAGTATCCTAAGATCCTAAGAGTGATCTGCTGGAATTCTTATCCACAGCATGCTGAAGAGGCTGGGTCGGTCTTGACCATTTATAAAATGTCTTTCTTTCCCCATTAATAAAAAAAAATGCATCTTCCACAGACAGAACACTCTTGCCATTAAAGATCACAGGGCAGTCTGAAAAAGTATGATTGCCAACTCTGGTGTCCTGGCTGAACTCATGAAGCACTATTTTTTACTTCTATACACAAGGACCCATTTGAAAAACAACTACAAGGAATTAATTAGCACATGTAAAGGTCTGGCACACTTCAAAGACCGCATGACCGAAAATATAATATTTAGTTTACAAGCCCGGTTTATTTTGACAAAACAGATCTAGGAGACACAAAGAAGTAATTTCATTCGTCAGTCAGTCATTCTTCCTGTCAAGCACACAAGCCCAGACCATAGAGCAGGAGAAAAGCACGTTCTTCCTTCGGGCAGTTTTCAATATGAACTTTCTGGACGGGGAACACAGGAAAGCATTAAACTGCAAACTCCTTTGTTTAAATAACTTTAGAGGACTGTCAGTTTTGTCAAGCTTTGGAAAGATGACAGAGTGTAAACACTTTTAAACTTGTTTATACAAGAGGTATTTCCTCACTTTGCTATTTTCTTTCACTGACAGTAAAATAGCAGCAATTGGCTATTATTTATTTATTTGCGTTCGCTAATTTGGTGCTGTAATCAAGTGTCCATGTGGAAATGGCCTGGCTCCCCCAGTGCATTACAAGCTGGGACAGAGCTGACCAGCTCTGTGTGCAGATGGAGAGCAGGCAGGCAGCCAGGGAGCAATGGAAACCTTCTGATGACAACTGCACTCGGAAACATCTGCTGCGCCCTGGTGGAGAGTTAGAGGACCTACAGGCAAGGAGACGTCCTCGCCGGCAGCTCACACTGCGATCCTCATCACCTCGGCCTACACAGGAGGATTTAAAAAGATACTTCCCCCGGTACCACCTAGTAATAAGGCAGGGCTTCACCCTCACCTGCCAAGACAGGAAGCACCTGTACAGACCCGCAAGGCTTCCTCGAGCCTCCCCGGCAGTGCCTAGCGGACTGGCCAGTTCCACCACAGCAGCACGGCCCCCCCGTGCGTCAAGAGCCCTCCTTCTGCGGACGGCCGAGCACCCCAGCTGCACAGCGCTGCCGTGTTTGTGCCTCCTCCACTCTGTGCTTGGTGTTGTACGTCTCTCCTCACACAGGTGCTGGCTTCAGCGTGGCAAGGGCACGTACCTCCCACCCCCCCCCGCCCCCTCACGCACGCCGCTTCTTTTTGGCGCTGGGCGGGTTAAAGCCCCCGTCCGTCATCTCGTCGCCGCCAGACTTCTCCCTTCTCCGCCTGGCGCGTCCGTCGCCATCGCCGCGCTCCTCCCGCGGGCACGCCTGCTCGGGCTCCTCGTCCGCCGCGCGCTCCTCCCTGTGCTTCCTCCTCCTCTTCCTCCCGGAGCTCTCCGAATCGTGTCCGTTCACGGCCTCCGCGGCCTCCTCCCCCTTCCGCCTGTCCTTCTTTTTCTTCTTCTTAACCTTCACCTCTTCCGCATCCCGCTCTCCATCCACGATGTCCTCTTCCGCGGCCGCTTCTCCCTGCGGTGCTCCGAGCAGGCTGTGGACCCTAACAAGCGGACGGACACATCAGCCTCGGAGTCACCCTACAGCCCCTGTCGCCCGTCGCCTGGAGCTGCGCCGCCCTCCAGCTCTCCCAGTATTACTGAAAACAGCCCTGGAGCTGCTAAACGTCACCCCTTCTAGACTTCAGGTCAAGTGCTACCAAGTTATTTTTAGTTTCTCTTTGACATGTTTACATTACAGTCTTAAAATACTTTAGCTGTGTGTAAGCACACCCCTGGCCCGAGACATAATTAACAACACTCAGAGGTATCGCTCGACCAGTAAGGACTTTGGTGCCACCTAGTGGCACCCAATTAGAATGCAGCTAAACTTTTAAGAAGAACCTTTGTAATTCTTCTTTCTTGAAGTTGCTTCTTTTAAACGTCGAATTGACAATTTGAGCCTTTCAGAATGGCATTAATCCATTCAAAGGTTTTAGATGTAAATCCTGATTCTTCACATCGGAAGTACTTGGAAAAAGTTTTAGAACTGAATTAAAATTAAGAACACATCTCATTTATTGGCTGTACAAAAGCATTTCTGTTGTTGCCTTCAGGACTGATTTTTACCAAACCTACAGTAAGCATTTTTAGGTGCAAAGATTACAACCACAAAATGTTCTTAATAAAAATTACGAAAAAGTGCAATGTACAGTAGCAGCATTGAGCTTCATGAAACTCAACGTTCTGTACAATATCACGTGTAATACAGATACAGATTTGAAAAATCACAAGTACGAATGAATTGCACATAAGGGTCTCTAAGGGAATTTTTTTCCGATTTGGAGTGTTTTTAGTTAGCATGAGATGCAGAATTCTAGAAATATTGTAGCTTATTCAGTACTTTAGAACGCATCCCTGTAACATCAGTATGTTAAGGTACTGAAGGTATTGAACCCTCACGGGATCAATAAAGTATCTACTGTAGTCTTATCATGATTAAATAAAAAAGTCAATAATAATAAATATTGATTTTTCAGCATTCAAACAAATCTCAGTAATGGCAATTTTATCAGCTGTACTAGAAACCACATTTTATGGCACAAAGAAATATGAAAACCTCGTTTCAAGTTCCTACTTGTTTTTCCCAAGGCTCCCCCTGATGAGCAGAACTCCGGCCACGTCTGCATCCAACTGGAAGACTTCGAATTCCAGGCTGTCGCCGACGCTGAGCCCCAGCCCCTGCCAGCTCTCCAGGGGCATCAGGGCAGGCTTCGGGATCGAGGCGTTGAAACAGCCGTGTACCAGGCAGCCCACGTGATTGACTCCCACCTTGTTTATAACCCCCTTGAAAACAAATCGGGCTTTTCACAAAAGGAGCTCAACTGCAGTTCAGGAAAACAGTCATCGTCAGACACAGGACAAACAAGAAAAAAGATAACCCACGACACTCCTCAGGAAAGGCGTGTTTTTAGGCCTCATTCACATCACCTAGAACAAAGGGTTCCCAAACTGGGCTCGACATGTAAAATCAAATTATTTTATCTATATTATTCAGTTCTAAAAGTTTACATTTTCACTTCTTTTCATACTTTTTTCCACTTTTGTGTTACCGTGCCTGCACTGCGTTTTTTGGGTTGAAGTGGTGGAAGAATAAACAATGTGACAGAGCCACGAAGATATTACTTCACAACGACTTCAAGCACCCAGCATGACAGCCCACGGCACTCTGCCTCCTGAGATACCTCCCCATCCTTCACGCCTGAAGGAATAGCTCAGTGTGCACTTCCCCGAGTCTGACCACGCTCGCCAGGCCCGGGTCACAGGTTCCTTCGCTTCAGCGACTGATGCGATACTCGACCTGCAGTCACAAGAGGGCCCGATCGAAGTGCCGATCGGAAAGAACCTGGCACTCAGACTCAATTCTCCAGCAGAGGTCTGGTTCTGCACGGGTCAGGAGAGCCTGTACAGGGCAGGCGTGTCCACTTCGAGAGCCCTCAAAACCAAACACGGAGCACAGACACACGTGGGGAATGGCATGCGATGAGCACCAACAGGAGGCCACACACTGAGGAGTTATACAGGAACAGCAAGCCCATCCCTCCCAGTAGAGAGGGGGTGTGTGGTTCTTATTGTCAATTGTGTTACTGTTACTTTACCTACTGCGATTAATAGGCTGTGTTTGTCACATTGCATAAGTATGTTAAAAGAGCACAGCAGGTTCTGTGGGTGGGTTAAGTATGACGTTGAGGTGGGAGTTCTCAGTCAGAGTGCAGTCCTTTTAGGCATCCTTGAAGTCTGGGAAGCTCTGATCTAGAATACTCTCAAACCTCCATGACTCACACTAATTGGTATTTCTGCTGGCAGTCAGCGGACATACGTACCACAAGTTTTTGTCCTTTTTTAGGCTGGAAGATAACGAAGGACGCTTCTATGTTCATATGGATATATCCTTGATCATCATAGATATGTCCATGTTCTCCCACAACTTTAATGTTGTCATAGGCGAGAGGAACACCTTTTAAACTAGAAGGAACACAAAACACAGATGCACAACATTGCTGTAAAGAGACACTGCTTCAGAATATCCATCCAGGCTCTAAGAGTAAGCAGTAGAATGCAGCAGTTTAAAAGATGTGTTCCTACTATTTCACTAAGTGATCAGACGTTTAGCACTCTCAGGAAAAGATGGAAGGAAACCACTGACACTCATTAACTTCATGTGTTTTTGGTACCAATAATATCTTCAAACAGCTCAATGCTAACACTCCAGTCTTTTTATTTTTGTTCTTAAGTCATTTCCAGCCAAACCACTGACAAAAACAAGCATCTTACTACTTCAAGCAGGTAGCTGCATCAGCATGCGTAGGCTACAAAGGTTGCGTTTCCTTTCTTTTCAGCAAGGAATAAACCCATTACCTGTTTCTTTGCATCTTACTATTGTTATACATCTTACAACAGAACAATGAAATAAATTATAAAAAGCACTATAAACTGTTATGAATTGAAATCACAGCAAAATGTCTCTTGGGATCAGTTATATCTACATCAGAAGGTACATGTTTAAAACCACAATACAGAGGTCCGTGACTTGGTTGTTTGAGTACTTAATAATAATAATAATTGCTTACACTTATATAGAGCTTTTCTGGACACTCCACTCAAAGCACTTTACAGGTAACCACCACCAATGTGCAGCCCCACCTGGATGATGTGACGGCAGCCATTGTGCGCCAGAACGCTCACCACACATCAGATATCAGTGAGGAGGAGAGCAGAGTGATGAAGCCAGTTCATAGATGGGGATTATTAGGAGGCCATGATTGGTAAGGGCCAATGGGAAATTTGGCCAGGATGCCGGGGTTACACCCCTACTCTTTTCAAGAAACGCCCTGGGATTTTTAATGACCACAGAGAGTCAGGACCTCGGTTTTACATCTCATCCAAAGGACGGCACCTTTTTACAGCATAGTGTCCCCGTCACTATACTGGGGCATTAGGACCAACATGGATCTCAGGGTGAGCGCCCCCTGCTGGCCCCACTAACACCTTTTCCAGCAACAGTCTCAGTTTTTCCCAGGAGGTCTCTCATCCAGGTACTGACCAGGCTCACACCTGCTGAGCTCCAGTGGGCTGCCAGTTGTGAGTTGCAGAGTGATATGGCTGCTGGCTTTTAATTAATTAAATTGCATCAAGGTGACGGCGACACTATACTGTAAAACAGGCACCTTCTTTCAGATGAGACGTAAAACCAAGGTCCTGACTCTTTGTGGTCAGGAAAAATACCAGGGCATTTCTCGAAAAGAGTAGGGGTGTAAACCCGGCATCCTGGCCAAATTTCCCATTTGCCCTTACTAATCATGGCCTCCTAATAATCCCCATCTCTGAACTGGCTTCATCACTCTGCTCTCCTCCCCACTGAGAGCTGGTGTGTGGGGAGCAGACTGGCGCATCATCCAGGTGGGGCTGCACACTGGTGGTGGTGGAGGGGATCCCCATTACCTATAAAGCGCTTCGAGTGTAAACACAATATAAGTGTAAGCAATTATTATTATTATTATTATAAATAATTACACAAACTGCATTGAATTCAGAGCTCAAACGTCACTAAAGGCAGAAGGCACTGACCAGGCCCTCCAGGAAGTGAGTCTGAGACCATGCTCTACTGCCTAAGTTGCAGATTCATTTAAGTCCAAATGTTCCGCCGTCACATTTACCCAGAAAGTGAACTGTTAATGCATGTAGGGAGTTATACTTGTTATATATACAGTACACATGCTCGATGTATCCATGCTGTAACTGTTCACGTCCAGCTTACCCGTCCTACCACACACCGATATATCACCGATAGTGACCATCCCCAGGCTGAGAGTTTCCTACCTTTCTGAATATTTCAGAAGTTCGGTGTTAAGCTGATCCTGGATTCCCGTCCTTTTCTTACTTAGATACACCGGGGCAAGAGCGATGTGCCTCCGGTGAGTGTCCACAACCAGGCAAGAGTAAGGCGCGTCTACCAGGTTACAGGCATCGGAAAAGGCCGGAATCAGACACTGTACGACCGGCTTCTGCTCCAAAGTCGGACCTTCTGGCGCAGGCGGTGGACTGGAGCTGGACACCGTCGGAAAAATCTTTTTTACCTTTTCGGAGTCGTCCTGCTCCGCGGCCGCCATGCTGCCAGCTGCCGTAAAGTAGTTTTCCCCACAGCTCTCAACGTGGTGTCGTGCCAAACGTCACGGGTTTTGGGGGGGAGGAGATGAGGGGCAAGTATTTAATGATCAGTTGCAGTGATGTCCCCACCTGCTGGCCTGGTGGAGGCTGTGCCGTTTCAGTCGGGTGGGTTTGCGTTTTCTTCTTGCATGTTGCAGATGAACGAGAATTCAGAAAAGTGACAGGAAACACAAACCCTGCCACAGCTCCAGGTTTTTCGTTGTCTACAAAAAATAAGAAAATCCTTGTAAAGAAGCCCTCTTAATGGTTAGAAAAATGAAATGTTGGTTTTGAATTTATAAGAGTATTTTAAGAATATATTCGGGGTTTTAGGCTTTTAAAAATATTGAAATAACCCTTATTTACCAATTGTTTCAACCGTGTTACGTGCTTAAACATTCCATCACAAAGCAAGCATTAAAAACTCAAATGTTAAACATTTGAACAAGTCAGGAAACACCAAATTATACAAAATTATAAAGTATTATACAGCTGCGCTCTCTGAAGGGTTGCAGACAACATTTCAAATATCACAACTTCAATAATCCCATTGAACAATCTAATTCAGCAATACGTTTCAGGCAAAATACAGATTAATCTTTAAATTTCCATCTTTCATCACACACAACACAGTCCCCACCCAAAACTCACTGAAAAATGTGGATTTCATGGTGTTTCTGCATCTAGTCTTGCTTAACATCAAAGGCACCATGGACACTCTATGAGCTGCTTTTATTTCTCTCTATGAAATTGTATTATATGTTATATATCTCTTGATGTAAGGAATGAGAACAGTGACACCGTGATATTACTGAATGTTAAGTTAACAAATGACCAGTTATCAACTGAGAGAAACTGAATGGTCAATTCAACAGGACGTTCCTCCAGATAGGATCGTGACAGATTGTGCCAACCAGCCTTTTGAATTTCTGCTCTTGTAACACTGAGCCCAAAAACCAGTTCAAAGAAAATTAAGTTTACCAGCACCTGAGGTGATGGGCTATTGAACAGTATTGATTGATACTAATGTACTGTATAAAAGGTGTCTGTTTCCACACAGTGGGTCAAAGGTCAGGTGAGAACAAAGTAAATGCTGGTCAAAGGCAAAGGTATTAAGGAGATAGATGGCTGTTACTCTCAGAGCAGGAACATGAGGCCTGTACCTGCGGGGCCTGTCTCCAAGCTCATATCCTGCTCTAAACAGCTGAAGGTAATAGAAGCACAAAACAAAGCGCATTACAGAACATGGCACATGCAATTAGCTTCTTCAAATTCCCCAGTAACAGAAGTCTTTTGTTGTACAAAATCAAAGAAAAAAATTGCATGGAAGAGGATATGGGTTTCTTCTTTGAAGATAATATGCTTATTTTCTGTTATGAACTCATTCTCTTTAAATTTTAACCTCATGTGATGTGTAATCAATACCACTGAATGTACAAATCTTCTGTGTTCAATAAGATATGGAATTCCATGGTAAAGTGCACTAAGAGTACGTTTATAAACATGGACATATGAATATAGACAGTAATTCCTCACCAGTGTGCCGAACAGATAAGATTACAAAATCCTGGGCCTGCAGGTTACTATTACATTTGTACTGTCCTAATAATTTTCATAGTAGGATTATGAATTAGAGGAGGCACTTGAGCTATCTAGCCCATCTGGTTGCTAGTAGTTAATTGATCTGAGGATGTTATGCCGCCATTTCCTGAAAGAAGCAATGATATTATTTTCAACAGCAAGGCTAGGTAGCTTGTTCCAGACTCCCAGGTGTGAGGTAATGGCAGGTGTTTAGATGCGAAGAGTATTGAGCTTCCAGATGAAAGGGCATTTATTTATTCATTGAATTATTTATTCATCAATTCATCCATGTTTAGTTCCATTTCATTTTGTTTGCGCAATGCTTTGTTCTTCCAGTTTATGCTAGATGTATTATTTTATTCATTTAATTTATTTTTACTTTTACTGTACCTGCATGATTGAACCTTGTACTTACAGTTAACGAATATTTTCTATATCAAAGTCACCCTGGATCAGGCAATCTCACACTATGATGGCAGGATTCTGAAAGGGAGAAACAATGGTCACTTTGCTCTATGAAATGTTTGGTGTTTGAATGAGAAGCAGTGTTAGGTGACAGTTAATAATAATTCACAGGTCGATGAAAAGAGTTAAATGTCCTGTGCCCATTCCAGAAGCAGGAAGAACCACCACAAGAAACACAGTTTTGAAAAATCAACATCACTTTTCAAGGATGTTTGGAAATGAGTTTTGTAATACTGTACGGAAGACGATACTGTACATCTTGAAAGATTTGCTAACATACACTTAACTGATAACTTATCGTTGTTTATGCATAATTGTTGTTAGACAGATAAAGTACAATACTGGTTTTGGATCAAATGTTGTCTTGTCATTTTGATTGATTATACTGTACAATGGTAAGGGAGTTGACAAGGCACAGTTGATGGGGTGCTTTATTGACTGTCAAGCTTCATGAACATTGAGAGAAATGAACCTGAAATGAACCACAGAGAAATCGGTGATCTTGTTCCATGTTGGAGGCTGGATGAAAAAGGTAACCTTTAGAGGTGAATCATGTTCTTTTGTCAACCAACCGGATGGATGTCAGCGAGTGCAGACCACAGATGATAGGGAGGTCCATGTGTTATGTTCAGGGCTGGAGTGTCTAGTAGGACTAACTGAATTGAAGCTTTCCAGGACACGGGTTGGAGAAACCAGGTCTAGTCACTACTGAACTCCACTTGTAGTCTTTGATTGCAACCTCAGTACAGGGGTGCTACAGTGATAAAGTCTTGGGAGCCTGATCCCAGTGTCACAATATTCTAAAAGAGCAATGTACGTCCTCATTATACTCTATAGTCAACAACTTTCTAGCAAAATAAAAATGCTCCAGTTGTGCTGTGGATGTCCTAACTGCTAGAACTGAGATTTATGGAATATTTGTGGGATGGGCTGGGATGATCTGTGGAATCTAGGGCACAGAGACCAGTGAACCGTCACAGGCTTGTCCAGGCTCTGTGAGAGAAATGGAGGAGAATCCTGCAAGACAGCATCTGCAACCAGATGAATTGCATCAACACACGGTGTACTAATCCCCTATCTATGACAAATGTTAATCAGTACAAGGAATTTATCAATGTCATAAAATCAAAGTTCCATAAAATCATATCGCAAATAAATATTTTTTTCAGCTCGATACCATCCTGATATTAACTTTGTGAATTTTTTGCACTTATAAGTGATATGCTTCTTTTGCTGACCCAAAAAAACAGCATATAGACTGTATCTGTAATGTTACTAATGAACTATAACTCTTTAGAAACATGTCTAGTTACACAGAGATGTGATTTCAACATCATTAGTAACACACATTTACAAATTGTTGAATATGAAAGATGTCTAAGGATAGTCATTGTGAGATCATCAGCAGTAGTAGCAATGGGCTTGTCACGAACCGCATGCGAGCACTTAGACATCACCACATACCCACGAGCACCTCTCACTGTAGACAGCAACGCACTAATTAAACAATTATCTTTCCCCACGATTTCCCTCTTGCTCCGCTCAGTCTCTGCTCACTCTTGAGGTCCCCCTCTCCCAAGCTCAACCTGCGTCCTACCTTGTTGGAAAGACTCTATTCTTCTGATCGACTTTTTGGCTTGTGAAACTCTCGCTCTATCCCTCGACAACGGCTTCGCTTATCGTTTATCGGACTTGGATACGTTTGTACTTCCCTTCCGGGAAAAGACCTACTTCCACCTTGCATAGGGTCCAAACCAGCCGCTTCACAGCAACACCTGACAGTGCCAGGCTCCTGAGGATGCCCATGAATCCCTGGCTCTTCTATGTAATTATTTATTTCTCCTATTACAATACAAGAGATGCCAGGCCATGAAGCAACATCTGCCAGATGTGCCAGATGTGCCAGTCTATTTTTGACTGGGGTCATCACACTGTTCTGAAATTTGATTGCCTGTAAACAAGGTGCTGACCTTCAGGGTCTGACAAGTCAAATCCATATATCCCTGAACTGATTTATTGATTGGTTGATTGATTGATTCAGATGTTGGTTTGTCGGACATTATAGAATAATTCAATATTTTGCCCATTATGTGTTTTTTGACTCAGGAAAGACAGGGGTGTCAGAGAAGAAATGGTAATTTATTTATTTCACGATCCCCTGACATTAGTCAAACAGATTATTTCATAGACTCATTTTGGATTGAGTTATGGATTATCTTTTAGATAATTTAGATTTCCTTGTGCAAAATTAAAATGGTCTTGTATTAGTTATACCTACACAGCATGTTGCAGAAGTATTCAACCTCCTCCAATAATGTCACATTTTGTTGATGGAAAAAAGATGCAAGCAAAAGTTATCATTTTCAATAAAACTCTGATTGCTCAACATGATGGCTGAAGGAAGGCGAATGTCATTAATACCTTAAAAGTAAAAAAAAAACAATTACAATTAATTCATCACATAATTAAGGTTAATGATGCATTTTAAGAGCATGCCATCATTTACAGGAATAAATATTTACTAATTCCTGCTAAACTTAAATTAGCTCTTTAAGTTGTATCATTTAAAAATAATCATACACTACAATACATTACAGCTACATTCTATTACATCACATCTTAAATCTAGAAAGTGTTCTTTGTAATCGATGTACAGTATGAAAAACAACCATGTTGTATAAATATAGATGAAATAATACAGAGAATCATATTCATATTATATTTTAGCAAAATTACAAGTTATAAACTTGTAATTAAATGCAGATGCTTGTTTTGACAAAATATTGAATAAATAGCTAATACTGCAATGGCACAAGTTTCACAAGTCACAGGCATATTGTTATTGAGAAGGCCTCATCCACAATCCAAAGCAACATGAGTCTGATCATTTGTTTTAACACTGTAGCGCTGAGGGAGGGAGATAATTGCACTTCAGTAGATTATACTGTGAATCAATGGAGAAGACTTGCTTATAAGAAACGTATTCTGAAATCTATAAATGTAATGATTTCAACATTGTGTACAGCAAAGGTCTCGGAATTGATTTTAAAGATATATGACGGTTTAATTGCTATTTTATGACAAACGGATCCTCCCAGCAGTAATAAAAAGAATCAATAACTACAAACAATTAAGTCCCTAAACCACTGTTTTGCTGAGAATGAGGGGTGAAAGGACCAGCAGCGGGCCAGTTACAGGGTGGACAGTCCTGTGTTGGAGGGCTGGTGTGTCTGCAGGTTTCCTTTCTGACTTGATGACCTAAATCAGCACATTAATGGGACCAGTTTAACAGCTTCTCTAAGCTCTTCAGGGGCTGCTGCTCTGTGGATACTCTGCTTAGGAAACCTACAGACACACCAGCTCTCTGGCATGGACTGTCTGTGTTAAAACACCTATCGAACAAATATACATGCACTGAAAAACGTACTCAAAACCTTTACATGACGAGAACTGCCTTCTGAGAATTAAGAAGTAATGTGCATAGCTTCCCCAAGACAGTTGTTGAAAGCCTTGTGGTGTTACCAACCTTGTAACTCCCAGCATAGCTACCACCTTGTAGCCAGTGTCAGAAATCTGAAAGTGGTGAGCTGTAGGACCCCTGTGCAGAGACATGAGGAAGGGAGCTCGAGGAAAAGAGTAAATCCAATATTCCTCATCCAAGTCGTGAGGCAAGAGCGAAGTCGAAACTAGGAGAAGCAGGTCGGGTAGCCAAAGGAGTCAGGTCAGGAAGAATATAGCTCACACAAGAGAAAGCCGTGGAAGACTTCTCAATAGTGATATTAATAGTAGGTAAGCCAGAGAAGGGGGTTCAAATATTGAAAGAGAGGGATGTGGTTGGATAATTAGTTCCTGGGCGAGCATGTGTGGAATCTAGTATGCGTGGGAATGCCAGGGCGTTGATAAGAGGAGGGACGAGTTGTGACAGCCAGATCTGATGCTGTTGGTGGAGCAGAATTTCCAAACCAGTCCCCCAGGATGGTGACTGCAGACACTCTGCTATAGCTGTAGCTGTAGGAGATGCCTTCCTACAGATGGGATGCTAAACTGAGGTCCCAGATAACTCCTTTTAAGGGCAGGAGAACCCTGTGCAGGTCGGTCTCGAGGGAAACGCAGAAGGCATATGATTCCAAAAGGGCTAGACAGAGTCGGTATCCAGAGCAGTCACTAAGAGATTTAGTTTCCAAAGCAGATTGGTAGTAGAAGGCGAGATCCGGAGACAGAGGAGACTCTCCAATACCGAGCACAGAGATGTGGACTGAGACGGGTTTAAATAGTAGGTCAGGCGTGGAAAGTTAATTGTTTATTAAGGATGTCCCAGTGTGCCCGTCACACCACAACCATGGTGTCCTGGCTAAGTTCCTCCCAGGGCTTGTACAATCCCCTCTTAATTCAGTGTCTCACTCCTCCTTCACTGAAGCTGCACTTAAGTGAGGGATGAAATAGAACCTCTCCAATATGTTAAATGCTTTGGGATCATTTAGATTAAAAGTGGAAAAAAAAGGATGAAGTATACATAGTTATTTACATTATTTATAAATTTCTTCCTAAATAAATGCCTCTCTCCTCCCGGAAAGCCATACCAATTGATGAGCCTACAAAGTTGATAAAGTCAGGTCTATAAAGTGGTTGTGCAATTAAACAAAAGATAGCAATTGATAATAACTAAGTAATCAAGCCAGAAAATTCATGATTTTGCTTTTCTGTACGAGACTGGGAAAGACAGCCAGGTATGAGCCCTGCTACAAGCTTTAAAACTGGTGGTTTCACAACAGAGGAAGGTTCAAATGGAGGTCTCTGCTCAAAGAATCACCCCGGGACGTTGTCACGTAGCAGTTCCTTCCGGGCCCTATGCGGACGACGCAATCCAGAATAGTGAAGATACACTGGGGAAAAAGTCATGTGGGAGAGGGTCTGGAGACAGGGGGGCGTGTCCGTGCAGTTCTGGTCTCCAGGGGGAGTGAATCCGGGGCGAACAAACAAGGCGAAATCCAAAAGAGTAATCCGAGACAAAGGGTAGAGTCCAAGGCCAGGGGATCCATCCAGGGAGTTAAAACACGAACCGGGTCGGGACCGGCGAAGGGAAGGGAATCAGGAACAGAAGGTTAAAACCATTACGCAGCAGGATCCCGGGCGCTCATGATGCGGACTTCAATGAGGAAACAGGAGTGAGGTCCGCGTCTGGCTTTTAAGGGGGAGCGGTGATAGGGAACAGGTGCAGACAATGGGAGGGAACAAGGAAGGGCTGGAGCGCCCTTAAGAGGAGGGGTTACCGATCGTGACAGACGTGAGGACTTGGATTGACTCCAGAGCCACCAACCGTTGATACAAAGTTCACACAGTTACGCAGATGACAAAAACAGACAATCAATAGAACTTTGGTCTTGTCAGAGTTCACATATAACCCATTTTATTGCATCGATTTTTTAAATATCCTCTAAGTGACAGGGCAGATAGTGCTGGGCTGCTGCTGTTTCAATGCATGAGCAGGGACATTTGCAAGACGTCAGTGCCCTCCCTTGGAATAGTTGATGCCCATGTCAGAGATTTATAACATCTGTAAATTGAACGAAAATCCTGCAGTCCTTGTTATATTAACAAAACAAATTTCAAATCTTTCTTTTTTCTCAACACTATGATTTCCAGGTTGAATAATAAATTGCTTACAGTGCTTTGAAAGGCTACAACTAAACATTTCAAGCAGGAAACTTCATCTCAGGCTTTTGCTGCCTAGTTATGTATTTCTTAAAACGCTTTAGTTTGTGCAAAATTGAAAATAAATGAAACATTTAAAATGGTGGTCAAATGTAATTGAATGTGAACACAAAAGGAATGTGTAAGTCCTCGGTCATGGGAACTGCCCGTCTCTGATAAGAATATGCAACAACAGAGCAGCACTGCAAGAGCACAGGAGCACAGGTGAAGGTGTGTACATGTGTACAGGAGCTCAAGCATACAGGTGTACAGGAGCACAGCTGCACAGGTGTAAAGGTGCACAGGTGACTTTGTGTACTGGAACATAGTTGAACAGGTGAACAGCTGGACTGGAACAAAATGGAAAAAAGCACAGCTGTACATGTGTGTAAAGGTGTATCTGTAAAATGTGAGGTGAATACTTCCATTTGCCACATGGCTGCAACAGCCTAGATTTAATAAATGCAGTATGGCAACAAAGTAATATTCCATCACTCTTAATTTTATTTTTATGAAGCTCTAAATAGAAAAATATTTCATTCATAAATGAGAAATTCCATATGTACAAGCGTGTACGGTCTCTCCAAATGATCATACATACAGTATATTGCCAAAGGTACCTTTTTAAAGCATTCAACATTCATTAACCTTATTGTTTTGGGATTTTTTTTTACATTTATAGGAGCATTCTGCTTTGTACAATAACTCAGAGTGCGATACTTAAAGCCTGCAAGACCTGGCAGACATTCACATGCTCTTTTTGTCACATGGATGCATGTCCAATAGCATTTCATCTCATCTGAGTCATCCGCCCGCCGCTGGAAGCACAGCAGCACAGGCTGCAGGCCACTGTGCTGCGAGGATCTGAGAGGTGAGCGTCAGTCATACACTCCAAGCTCCATTGGCAGCCCAACCCCAGTGTCCACAAGGGGGTCAGTCCACCTCTGCAATCTCTTTGAGTTTGAGTTGATCAAACCCAGCCCGAGGTGCATGTTATTTTCCTGTCGTTTTCCTGCTCAGCGATGTCCCTCCTTTGAAATCTGGAGTCAGGCTTCCGCCTGTCATGGTGGGGACATCTTCCCATTCTGAATAAGCTGAGGGATCCCATTCCCTGCAGTATCTGGTAACTCCTGGGGAAGCAGAATGTCCAGTCAGTACACTTTGTTGATCTTCAAAAAGCAGTTTCAAGTATCACACAGAGATATGCTAAATACTCTTTTCTTTAAAATACAAATAAAGAACTATAAAAAAATACAGTATAGGAAGCTGAAGAGTATGGCCTCCTCAAGGCCTCATACCATTGTTATAGACAATTTTTCCCTTTCTTTCTGAAAAATCATATAATGTTGATTATGCTTGAAAAGGAAGGAGAAATTCAAACATTTACTTCATGCAAGGAAAGTCTGTCGTGACTAGCTCTGGCTTGCTCTGCCCTGCATGCTCCTACCACAGAGACCTTCATCTCCAAAAAACTAAAATCTGTTACGTGTACAGTATGTGCAGTGAATTCAAGAGCAGTTCAATTAAAAATCAGACACTAAAATGTATCTGTAATTAGTCCGAATCTTACTTTTCCTTTACCACTTCACCTGTGAGCTCCCCTAAAAAAATAAAATGAGAACAGGTGCTGTTCTCTGCTCTGGGCGGTCCTGCGTTCTGATAATGAAGAATCAGCTACAGACTCACATTTCAGAGAGCTGGAGCAGCGCACATTCCCTCCCACGTCCTACTGATACTGGACTCAACTACAAACAGCAAATCCCACATTTATTACAGTTTGATCTGTTTAAACCCCAAACAGGGCTTTGGGCTGCTGGGCCATGCTCCAGCCCGAAGAGAGTTCTTCAGCTTGTGAGAGCCCGGGATCCCCCGAAACACCGCGGGGGAGTGTCTTCGCTCGCTTACTTTCTCCGTCATCTCGTGGGAGTGGTGCAGGGAGTGCTCCCGCTCCAGGAACATCCTCTGCTGCTCATTGCTGGCCAGCCGGCAGGTGAGCCAGGCAGAGAGGGTACAGCCCCCGACGCCCAGGCAGGCCAGGGCCATCACGGCCAGGTGCAGCGAGTACACGGCGGTGGACTTCCTCACCACCGCGCGCACGAACTGGAAGTTCAGGATGCCTCCAATCAGACCACAGATGCAGCAGGCTGAAAACAGGATCATCTGTCAGCCAGAATGAAAGAAATAAAAGAATAGCATGGGTATATATTAAACATACTATGATATATATTATTATATATACATATATTATATAAATAAGTACTGTAGATTATATATTCAATATATCATATTAAATTGCCAGTATATTGTGTTCATATAGCACAGTGCAATTTTTGGCCCATAAAAGGAGCGAAAGATCAGTCTTGGCAGCCGTGAGTTTAAGACTGCTCCGTCCCTGTATAAGCTCTAATCCTCATGCAGTGCAGTACAGTAGGTTATATATTGTATTTCTTTTGTTTAACAATGGATATTGCAGGCAATTACTTCAGCTGCGCTCAATCCCTTTCTAATGAAAACCCAAAGTTGTTCAAATTATTTTTTCATCCTGAGGTTTAAACAACAGAGAGAAGGGGTTTAGGATGTTTAGAGTGAACTGTCAATCTTCTCTTTTTTACAGAGAAGGTCAGCTTGCCATTACATTAACCAAGTGGCCTAGTTGACATTTTGCCACATAAAATGTACCTTTTGTTTTCATTTGACTTGGTTTATTTTTATCTACATCTGGGCAACACTCCCTTTCTTAATAAAGAACTAGCACCAGAAAGTGATATGTCTGTCCAGTCGCATGGTGTCTGAGACTACAAAGGATCTGGTTTCAGTACTTTCCAAAGAGGAACTTTTTGTTGAGTCCTGTGCACCGTCCTAATCTCATCACCAAGAGAACGGCTGAATTCCAAAGGTGCATTTCAGGATGGATCTCAGTTACTTATTGATTTGTCATTAAAACGCTCTCCAGTGAATTTAATGTTCTGAGATCTGAAGGTGGTTAATTGAATCCGCACTCTGATGATACTGTAAGTATTAGGATAAAGTGATGCACAAGCTCAAGATCCACAATGATGCTGGGAGTGTTGCTTCACATCAGAAGGGAAAGTGTGTCTCTGCAGAGATGAGGGCTGCAGACATCCTCATTCTGACCCTTAGAGTTTATCGAATAATGAGAAGCGCTGGGTTGTAATTAAAGGATTATTTTTATCTGTTTGAATCTGCCACATGTTTGTCTTATTTCTAATAAATGAAAGAGCTACACAAAAAAACTGTTCTGAATATTATTCTCATCAGTCTTTCATGTGAAGATCCTGAATACAGATAAAAACATTTTAATAGTATTTTTTCACACATTCAAGATTTGATTCGTTCTAAACACTGTTGACCAAAGCATTACTACTTACAATGAGTCCAGACTTCTTTTTGGCACAGATTACACCGCACAGCCCACATATGAGAAACTGCAGTGGGAAAACAATAATTATCCACAATAATAATGCAGTACAACTTTCATGCTTGCTGCAACAGCAATATCAAAACATTGCATTCTGGTACACTACACAAGGCTGCTTAAGGAAGGAAATATAAAGGAGTAGAAAATAATGTCGATAGTGTATTTAATAATATACAGTATATTCAACATAAAATACAAAATTAAAAAATGACATGATTCATTTTGTGCACCATCACAAAACTTCAGAATAAATCGCTGAAGGCCAAAGAAAGATCATGTTTTCAATTTCTGTCATGTGGAGAAGTCACCCAAGAAGGTGTTCTGCCTGGGAACACTGTGTTTACAAAAGACAAGCGTGGCAACTTAAACAACCACTCCGACAACCTGGAGCTGCACATAGCCCCCGAAGACAAGGCCGTTCTCAGTCGCCTGTGGAGCATCACAGATGCTGAAACAGCCCCAGCATGCAAATCAGCTGGAAGAGATGCCATGCTCCACCATGCAACGTGCACTGTGGTGGAGCCTTGCTCTCCCCGTCAAAGAGATCCTTCACATGAGGACGCAGAGCACTCGGCAGTCAGTCTGCGGCTGAGTGCTGGGGTGACCACCCTGCCTTCGATAGAGGCAATGCAACGTAGCGATGTTTGCAGTCATAAGGACGACACAGCAATCACAAGGGCCTGGGAATGACACAAGTGGAGGAGAACCCCTCGGCTCATCTACAGTAGCTCCCTTAGTGGCTAATTGAGCTGCAGACCTCATCCGGCTGCTCCATGAAAGAAGCCCAGCGAACCAGCTTCAGCGTCATGGCCAGGAAGCTTGACGCAGACTCCCACAACCCGACCAGGAGAGACAGCAATCGATCTGTGTTTCCATCCTCCCCAGCAGCAATTTCTTTTCAACGGGTGGTTGCACGGCTGTGGCCAGGCCCAAACCAGGTAGATAAAGATCCCCCCCACAACCCAGGATGAGACTGCCTTCGCCTCCCCCTGCTCATTATGTGTGGGGAACTCTTGTAGGGTGAGCTGCACCCCAACAGCACACTGCATTGTCCTCACAGCATCTGCAATTTCCCTCACGGGATCAATAAAGTATCTATCTATCTACCCCTGCTCCAGGAGCACTGGAGGAGGATTCCAGACCAGTCTGTAATCTTCCCTTTCGGGTGGGAGCATGAGTGAGGAGGGCTAATTCCCTGCTGTGTGTGGACTCTTTTTGAGTATTTGTGAGAAGGCGCTCATGCCATTTTCTTTAGAATTAGTGTCATTCACCATTTTAAAATGGCTTGAAAAGTTTTATTATTATTATTATTATTATTATTATTTTGTGCTTATATACGATACTGTGACGATTTGGATGAAAGTTGTGATGTCTGTGTAGAAACTGGGACTAAGTGGCCTCAACAATTCAAAGTTTATAAAAGGGCTGTTTGAGGAGCATAAGTGATTATCCTCTAAAAGAAACAATTTAAAAAGTGACATTAAATAAAATCCCTAGTTTAAGCAGTATAACTACATAAAAGTAGTAAAAGGAAGTAATTTTAGTTTCAATGCTTCTTTATTAATTTAAGTGAAATTACCAACCATTTCTATGACGAACTCTTGGACAAATCCAAACGACCTGCTGTAGGAATCTGTTAAATACTGTAGTTTAAGCATTACAATAAAAATAAAATACACATTTTCGCCATACATAATGTTCGGTCGACCATGCAGTCAATTCAAAGCAGACACATAATCACTTTTAAGCACAAAAAAGACAAGTAGTGCCTCAACTGAAAATGCATTATACTTGTAAAGCAAACTCAGATGAGTTTGAGGAAAACTTCCCCCTCGTTTACCGTCTCCTAAGAAGCGAACCAGGATAAAAGAGGGTTCCAGCTAGGAGTTTACACCAGCGGAAAAGCATAAACAAACAACGCTTTTTCAACAAGGCCAGACTCACTCATTTAAAATCTTACTAGATCACGTAGGTCATAATACGATTACCAAAATGCACAGTACATGCGGCACAACTAATATAAATTTCCCACTTTGATAAATAAGTAAATTGAAACAAAAATGCGTTTATGGCGTTGATATATCATTTGTATTATTCCTGTTTCCGCACTGTTACGTTTGTTTCATCCCAGAACGCAAAACATAATATTTTCTATCTACTCTATACTGTGCTGTTCGTCTTTTCACACCTACTGCGCATCTCCCCGTATGGAAGTTCTATGCATTTTCAGTAACTCACTCCATTAAATACTGGACGCTCAAAACACAACACTGCATCATGCATGGAACATACATGTAATATAAAGAGTCATACAAATGCAAAGGTAGAATTTAAAATGCATCATCCCTCCGTACGTCCGCTTTTTATCTTTCATGTTTGGATTTTTATGATTGAGCTTTTGCATCAGGCAACCCTTAACAGCTATTAAGCGATCTTGTTACAAATATATTTTAAGTTTAGAAAGCCCCGCTCAAATCTGAAGTTGACCAGACGAGAAACAATTTTGTGTCCCCTCCCCCCCTCCTTGAATATTTGACACTTCTCATTTACTTGGTTTGGATTTTTTAATTACATGGAAAACAGCACTTTCATTAAGAAAGAAAAGGGATGCTGCATCTTTAAAATCATGCTCTGGGCACTTTCAAAGGGTGGACAAAAAAAGAAAGTGAAATGTTTGACGTACACACACCCCGCTCCATACCGGAGAAGCATCACCCAGACGCGTCTTCTGCTCGGCTTTGACCCGGCTGATCCCCACAGCCCCCAGAGCAATGCTGGACACCCCGAGCCCTATCTCCAGCACAGAGAGGACCAGCAGACTCCAGATGATCTTCCTGCTGGTACACATCCTGCCTCGGGCATCATTCCTTCAGGTTCGGGGTAGAAACCAAGCGAGAATCCACCAGCTCCCGCCCTCCGAAAGCGAGTTGTTCCAGCACTGTGATACAACCTTAGCGGTTTTCGCAGAGAACGCACACAGTGTTCAAAGAGCTTTATAAAACATCTATATCCATGTCCACGTATTAAAAGAGGTTGGTTTTTTTTTAAGGAGCGACCATGGTGGTGCGTGTGATAGCCGGCGTGCTGGCTGTATACAGTAATTCTCCCCTGTCTGTGCGCGGCTGGTGGACACTAGGCGCTATCCACGGTGCTGGTCCTCCAGGCGCGGCTCTGTCAGCGTGAGTGAGCCGCCCGTCATCTCACCTCCTGCGCGCAGTCCAGCGGCTTGGAAATTAATGACTCGACCCTTAACGGTACTTGAAAACCTGCCGGCAGCACAATGCTTGCCAAATTATACTACTTAGCACCAAAATATGGTTGTTGCCTTAAAAACCTCGGTGCACAGTTGTTACGAGGCGTACTGTACTTGCGAACTGATGCGATTACAATTTCAAGCAGCCCCGTGTGCCCGCCGCCTGCCCGCGACAGCCGACAGTTGCTGCTGTATTTTTTTTAATTGATTTAGGCAGCATAAACGAAAGCCTCCCATTCGATTCCGTAACTTCCATCTCCAACTGTAAGGAAGTTGCAGTTTTTAAATTTTTTTACTCACGTTTGGAAATGTTGCTTTTGTTGAGTAACACATCACATTAATACAATGTGACTGATGGCCTCGACCCTTGTTACTCTGTTAAGCTCCGCAGTCTTCCAGCGCTGCTCAATGAAGGAGGAAAATCGCACCAACCTGCAGCACGGGTCCAGTGTTGCTGAGTAGTGTTAGTAATTGTTTCGGAGTGAGATTTTCAGATGTGAGGGGAAGTCTCAAAATAATCTCATCCTCTCAATGACTGCTCAGTCCATTACAATACTCCCTTGGGCACAGACTAATAACTGACGTGTAACACGACACCTGAAAACAGAAGTACAGTAGCATTCTTGTTTATACTTCCCGGGACTTTCATGCTGGTTGTTTTACATTGACCATTCTTTTACTTTAACGCTCCGTGAGACAAAACTCACAGACCTGTTAATACGCCTACTGTTTTGCACAAATTTACAATTTAGATCTAAAGCACGTTAATTCGCACAGAGAAAGGGGATGAATCGTGTTTGCAGACGTTTTGGAAAAACGTGTTCTGTTAATTGCACATGGTAATGCCGACTCGTGTTCCATTACATTATCTGAAAGGAACGATTTGTATACCGTAAACCTGCATCTGATCTCTTCATTCACACAGAAGCTCATTCATTGTTGCCACTTTATTCACATAAAGAATTGTTTAAAGAAAGAGGAGACCTTATGGCCCACCAAGCATCGCCCTATTCCTTGAGGTATAGGCAAGTTCAAAAGATGATTTGGCCCAGTTATGGGAATTTTCTATACAGAAAGGCTTCTAAAGTTGCTCGTGGGAAATACGAAGGTCATTCTGCTATAAGAATGACTGGAGCTCCCCACTGTATTCCTGTTCGACCTCTACATTTTGATGCATTAACCTTCTACCTATACTGTCTGACTGATTTACTGGCTTGATGAGGAAAGCACTTCCTTATCCTTAGCAGGTTGCAGTTCTCTATGCCATCGTGCGATGGAAGACACGGTACCTTTAACAGATTGAACCAGTTTTGGGCTCAAGTCGTTCTGATGTGGCTGCTGCTGATGACTGGAGCCGTCTGAACCATCTGTCCGCCTGTGCATCTGAGAGGGCTTTCAGTCGACTTCCCCAAATCATTGCTGCCTGACAATGGTAATACATCCATTGCACAACCAGGGCTTGTGTACAGAACATGAGATTGAGTGTATGGTTGTGCGTGGTGCACAATAGTAGTGCAAGCCCAGGTGACTGGAGCTGAGAGGAGGGGCCGAAGGCAGATCCAGGGGTGGGGTGAGCTGTCCTGGAGTCAGGGACCAAGTGTCATCATGCCTTCCTTTAGCGAGGCCGAGCTGCCGGACCTGGATCTCCATCCGTTCACGGTACTCGACTGCTCGGGCTCACAGGCCCGATCGGGATTCGGGGCTGGTAATCAAGGACGAGATCCAGAGAGGTGGAAGACCGCCAGGCGGCGGGGAAATGGTCTTGGGGACTTGTTAGAAGAGCTGGTTGACCCGAGGATGGTTCTTGTATCCATTCTTCCCTGTGACTGTGGATCAGCTGTGGATGAAGAAGGAAGCTGAGGGTCAGGAGCCTTTGTCCACTCTTGACTCCTTCCTGACCCACTGGGGATCTGGAGAAAGAGAGTTGGAGGGAATAAGAGAGTGAGTTCGGGCTACTTTCCAGGAGTGACCTTGTAAAGAGCCAAACGTGCGTGCAGGAATTACACAAAATCATATTGGGTCTCATATTACTGAAAGACTTTCTTGCTGTCTAGCATCCAGAAGGGGGTGAAATGGGCTGTTTGTGTTCTGTGTTTCTTGTAGCATATTTGACTACATGCTGGACCTAAAGGTCCAGCAATCCTTGGTACTGCAGTCCAGGAAGGTATAGTTGCCCATGATGACAGCTTGTCTTTGATGACCAACTGTGATGGCTGTTGAAGGTAAAGACGGGCAATAGAAGGGCTTTAAGGAGGCAACATCAGAGAAGGAAAGTCAGCAAGCTCCTAAATATGTTTTGCAATTTACACACACATCAAAGGTGTAGAATTCCATATTCCAATGTCATTGCATTGACGTGATCAACATGACTTAATGCAAAGTTTTGTAGATTCCTTAACACTTAGGTTCTCTCAATTCTTTGCTTCCTCAGTGATATCTGATACACACAAACCCACCTTCAGAGTTATTCAGCCTTTAAAGTTTATTTCTTCTTTAAGCAAGTCTGTGAAGTGGTCTATTAAAGGTTAAAAGTCCTCTTACCTTTGGGATGAAACGTTCTGTGTACGAATGCAAGGAATAATTATTGCATGGACCACTGTTGAACTCCCTGCTTTATTAATATCTGAATTATTAATCCACAGTTTTCATTGTGTCCTGCTGATTTGGTTAACCTTTTTAGCTGGAGAATCTAAAATATTAATTAAGCTAATCACTGTGAGATCTCTGTGGAATTTAGTTACAAATGAAAGCAGCCATTAACGCTGAAGAATTTAGTTTACTTGGCAACTTTTTCAATGCAATTGTGGCTTTCAAATTGATGGCATTTGTCTTATCAGCATGTTGCGGACATCGCCAAAAATGTGAACTGCACAATCAGGAATTTGTCCAGGACATTAAAAGAATTTAAGTTGTCTTTCGAAAAAGTCTTCAGGTTCTCAACATACTGTAGACCACATTATCAGCTCAGAAATTGTTCCTTTAAATAGTAAAAAATATATTAAACACACAGAATAAACACATGCTGCTAAGAACATAAACAGCCAGTTTATATTTTATGAGAATACAGCATTTTGTGTGTCTACAGTAGTTGCTAGTAGCTTAGAAACCATTTTGTGAAAGATCTTAATGAATCTCCTTCAGAAATACATTTGTAAAGCTTATTTCAGACTTCCAAAACAGTTCTTAGAGTCAAGAAGTATTCACACTCTCTTTCAATCACGTTTCAGTGATTTTCAGATTTTGTGAAACCTTCTGGCAAGTAGTTTTATAACGAGCTGTTATTAACACTTCTGCTCATGAAGAGGCTACCAGCCTCAAAGACACCCACTATAGACACATAATGGACAGTTTGCTGGGGCATATTAATGACATACGGTGACAAAATACAATTTCACATTCCAGAACTACATTTCCATTCAACACCACCTTCATCTGGACACTTTGAGACGGGATGAGATTTTCAAAGTCATCCTTGCAGTGAAAAGTTGAAATTTGATTTGATGCCATGGTTGGAAGAAAGCTTAATGACAGCATACATTTTTTGAGGGGGTAATTAAGCAACATCTCTTACCTAGGAAAGGTGTAATGCGAAAATCATTCATTTCATTAAATTGGCAATTTGTAAAACCACATCCTGTCTGAAAGAGACCCAAACTGTACATACACAATTCTGTAGAACAAGGAGGTGTTATATCACTTAGTAAGAGCGTGTATTTTAAAGTTGAAATAAAAACCTAGAGACTGACTAGGATTCCAGGTCCAGGTCTGGATGGTCTAAATTCAAATTCAGTGTCCATGTGTTTAAAAACATCACTGGACTGTGTGTTTCTGACCTCTACCCATAGATACTCAGAGAAACCTCAACCTTACAAGACAACCTTCACTCTAAAGCTAAGTCACAGGCCTGCTTACACAGGTGTGCTAATTTGCCCTGAGTCAGCACCTAATAGTCAGCAACAGAAGGGATGAGCAAGTTAATTGGTAACAATTGAAAACATGCAATTATTCATTAGTGCAATCAATTTGTGACAAAGCAGGCTCCAGCCTACAATTCCCACCATGTTATAAAAAGCAAAAACAGGAGGAAAAGATAAATTTACAACCAAACAACAGATTCTAGCTTGCTTTGTGGGTGCAATCACTAACTAATGTAAGGCACAATGTAAAACAACAACAACAACAACAACAACAAAGGTTTTAAAGGTCTTTGAAATGGGATGCTTATTCAAAATTACAGATAACAGTAATACTTACCTCTTGCTTGAAGGACCACAAAGACCCAGATCTATGCCATGATACTGTAGGTGTCTTAACAGTGCCAGAAGGAAAACATTCTCCAGAGCTGGGAGACTCCAACTAATTCTGAGTTAATTTACGTAAACAATCCAGACTGTTTAAAATCTTGCAGAATGCTTAAAATATAGTATGTTTGAAATGTATCTTTTGTGATACACCAGCCTGAATGGGAGGGGCTGGAGACATATAAGGGGGAATTGTTCAAGAGAAAAGTTGAACAGCAAAATGGATGTTGTAATACCCAGTTTATGTGCTTTAATGGCTTTCTGGTCCACTTACGTGTTTCATTAGATTGATGTTTTCCTTTTCATGTGCAGCATGGTGGTGCAACAGTTTTTTAAATTTAATCCTTGAACAACTTTTTATTGATTAGGTTACTTTAATTGTCAGCTCTTAAACCGTTTAAAGGATTTCAGACAAATCATAACCTTATGAGAACAAAGCAGAGACCCAGGCTTGATGAGGCACGTTCCCATTCTGGGTCCAGTTGTTTACCAACACTCATCTGCAGCAAAAGCCGGAGGAGGCGAAGAGCACAAGGACCAGTCTAGGAAATCCTTGTCCTAAACTAATCTCCCTCGCAAAGTGGAGAACACCCCTTTATTAAAAGTGTCTAGACAAGCAAACCAGATCCTAAGAGTCCTGACACTCTGAAGGAACTGAAATGTTGAATGGATTTCACATTCAGAAAGTAAACTACATGGCAGAGCACTTAAAACTGAGAACAGAGATACACAAGGGTTCTACACAAAGGGTTGTGAGATACAAAAAAAAACACAATTTAGATTGGGGGGAAAAAAAACAGATTAATAACTTTTAGCACTAAATGTGTTATATGTTTTCTCCTCATTTAAGCAAAATACCTTAAAGTTCAAGGGTTGATGGGGTAATCTCTTGCTTTGACAATAGTGACTGTGCAGCATGGTGGTTTAGTCTCAGGGTGAACTATTTGGTTAACATTTAACATAATCAGTCAAATATCATCTTGTAAATGATCTGAATTCTGTGAAAAACTCAAGATGTTTAGATTGTACAGATGTAAAGAAAACAACATTCTTAAAACATTCTCGAAACATTCCTACTGTTCCTTAGCAATAGCAGGACAAGTGCCTCTCTTCCTCACAGTGCCTTCATTAA